AAGTGTATGCCTAATACATGCCTAATACCCCCTTTTAAACTGTATTAACTTGGCATGGGTTCATGGATGCTGTGAAACTGAACTTGATTCACTGGAAGCCAGCTGACAGCAGCAGAGATCAAAGTACGGAAGTGAAAGCCCTACAGATACTGTCATCCTCTACAAATGTTTAGTGAACCGTAACCTGTATCTCATTACTTTAACACTCTCCTTTACCCTCACAACCGCTTCGCTTCCTCAAGTACACCTTTCACTGTCTGTGCTGCGGTAGTGGAATTATTTCAACAATATTTACTGTACTTTATTTATGTATATGTACCAAAAATACACAAATCCAAGTTAAAGTGAGAGGAAAACAGCAGTAATAGTGTTATGAGGTTCTCTCAGAGTCCTTGAGTTGACCTGCTGACAGTTAATCTATAATTAATTGATTCAGTATTGTGTGCAATGATATCGTAATCTGTTTCAGGATGGGATAACAACCGAAACAGTTCTCTGCACATTAATGTTATGGTTATTCTTTAAATTGAAATGTAGCACTTTTTGACAGGTAGCCACTGATTGTATATTCACGTATTTTTCACACTGAAGAAAATGAATTGTGCTCGGGCATGTCTTATTGGACTTTTGCTGTCCCGGACATGGATTAATTGATTCTGATCTGTCTCCTGAGCATGTGGTTGAGTGACAGTTGAATACATATTTTAACGATCACGCCCAGAACTTACAAAAGGCAGATTTATGGAGGCCAGATATAGATATGCGTATAAATATACACGGCTGGAACTTTGAAAAGCTTTTGGACTGTGACAGTCAGCAGAGGAAGAATAAATGAAGAACTGAAGGCCATAGCTGTTGTTTGAATGTAGGAGCAGCAGACCTGCACAAACCCTCGGAGCATTCCTGAGGAATCAGGAAACAGAACTATCTATTGAAAGGAGGACAATGCTGAAAAAGAATCCATGACCATAGGTTGCACATTTTGTAGTCAACATGCAGTCTTAACATTCTAGGCACATTTTCTGTCTGTTAACATAATGTTCCTGCCTTTTTTTTTGCTAAACTGAATGTACACGACAGCAGGTGTACAGTATACGTGGACCAGTTATTGAATATATTCACATTTTTCACACCTTTAGTCTTCAATCTGTTTTTATTTTTCACAGGGATGCAGGATTTATGAGGTTTTTAACCTGAACAACCAAATTTTTGTGTCGAAGCCTGCTTTGTCGGTGGATTGCAGCATCTTGGCTCGTGTGCTGATACGTAGCACCTTCATCTTCGCCCAAGGCAGTAAATGAATGTGTAGTGTTGCTAGCGTACTTCCAGTAATCTCTCGTAGACTGCTGTGTGTGTCTGGTGGCCTGTGGTGAGGAGTCTGGCCCAGCATCATCACCCAGTCTCCCACATTGCCACACATATGGTGCTGCCTTTGTGTCAATTGTGCTCCATGGGGTCTCTAATAATTAACAAGATGACAGACAAATGAAATGACAAGCACAAGGTGGATTCGATTTTCCATTACAGTCTTCTGTCTGTGTGGTGTTTTTTTTTTATTTTTTTTGTTTCAGATGTTTAGCTGTAGCATTTTGAAATGCTGTAATTTCACCTCTTGCAAAACTTTCAATCTCTAACGCAATTACAAAGGCCACTTTAGAAATTGCAAATCTTGCTATTATAAGCTCTGCGTGCACATATGTTTGTATATGTTGCCATGGATTTCTGTATGCTTAGGAATTACCGAAGAGTACTGGAAGCACAGCTTTACTGAAGAAGGAACATCTGATATAAGAAATAGACTGAAATACATTCACCAGACTCCCCCAAGGACACGTTTCCTTCATTTCTATATTATGCCAAACCAGACTCAACTCAAATGGAAAAGCACTGTAAAAGACTGACTGTACAAGGATGAAAACAACATGTTGATCTTTGCTCAGGAAGCAGTGCCAGAGAAGAATAGCCTAATTAATCGGATTTGCTACAGTATTAGCAATAACTGTTGGTTTGCTGCTATGTTGATGACCTTCCATTCAGAACTAAGGATACATTCTCAAGGAGAACCATGTTGCTAATCCAGCTGCTAATGTCACCTAGAGTTAAAGATTTTATATTCAATGTATTGCTCTTCTCCTGTGGACCGGCAGATCTTTTTCTTTTTTTTTTTCTTTTTTTTTTAATTTACTTAGAGTCTTAATGTATTCTAGCACACGCTTAACTCTGAATAGGAGCAGTCTTTATATTTGACAAACATTTTGTGGAGTTGTTGCTACAAATTTTAAGACTTTAAAAGACTACCACATAAAAAAAAACTAATTATTTCCCAGCGAAACTTTCAAAGCTAGGGTAGCCAGAAATCAGGAATAGCCTGAAAAAAACAGCAGGATTTTGAAATACTTCCTCCTCCTGTAGCTCTCCCCCTCCCCCCCAACCACAGATATATGCACAGGCTTTATACAGTAGCTCAGTGTTTCCAATACATTGATTTCTTTTATCTTATTTCATCATAAAGTTTCCCACAGCTCACTCACTCAGCCCCTCTTTGCTCCGCTCTGTCTCTTTGTTTATCAAACCACAAATGAGACAGGGATTAGCTAGCTAGCCACCCAGTCCCTCTGCCTCATGCCCTGTGGCTATGAATGTCTTTGCTGGGAGGAGAGCAACTTGGGAAACACTTCAGTTGGCGGCTGTAGCGCCTCAAATTTGACTAGTGTAAACCCCCCAGCACCAGGTAAGCCACAGCACTGGGTCTAACCTGTGTAACAGCAGCAACAGAAAGTTTGCTGATCTGAGGGGAGCTGGGGCTGTCTGGTCCCTCAGAGCTGGTTGGATTTGGGCTGCTGCTGCTGCTGACTACTCCAGTGCTGCTGCCCACTCTCATCTCAGTGAGGTGGTCTGTTGTAGCGGGGAGTGAGGATGAAGGTATACTGTGATTCTTGGCTCTAGCTAATGTTAGCTTCATAAACGTGAACCTGAAGTCGCAGCCGCGAGCCTTTGATTGCGGTTAGCTAAGGGCTTAACTATTAGCATCATTTTCTCTCCATCTTTGAAGTATTTCTCTGATCTTGAGTGTTTTATCTCGTTATTGTCAAACTCTCTTTTAGATTTTCTTTTTTAAGTCCATCTACCTCTTTTAGGTTGCTTTGCAGTGTAGGCAGTTGTTGACAATCCTGGACAATCCTGGAATAGCAACTTTCTTTGCTCTCTGAAATCACCTGTATTGGCCAAAGTTGTCTGTCTCGGGATAGATTTTCTAAAGCCTGAAAACAGAGCCAAAAGGAGGAGCAGATCTAGTTTTCTGTCAGACCACTTGAAGCACAATAAGCTCACAGTTAATTGTGTTTTTTGCACAGTGACACCGGAATCAAAATCCCTACCTTAGCTTTAACTCCAACTTAAACCTGCACTTGTGGAACATATAATTTAAAAATCCTCAGTTTCAGAATTGTGTTATTTTTCTTCTGCATCATCATAAAAAAGTCATCAGGTATATGAAACAGCTTTAGGAAAAGTTCCTTTACCAAAGGTCACGATTGAATAATTAGCAACATTAGCTTTGTGCTGAATACGGTATGTTCATTGCTGTCAACGAATAGGTAATTTAAAAAAAAAAAAGGAAAACCATGTGCCCAGTCATCATTTAACTCAACATAAATCCATCCTTACAAATCCAATTACACAAATATGCTTTTTTTATTTTTATATGATCAACTATTTTTTCTGCTTCTGCTGATATGATCAAAAGCCTTCATTATCATGGCACCATTGCTTGCAGCAGACCCTAATTGGAGCTTCAGCAAAAGCAAGCAACATTTGATATAATGGCTCCCTCCCAAACAGGAATGCCAGGCCTGCATTATGGCTTACTGTTTTATTAGCTGCATTCCCTGAGGGAAGGACAGAGATGTCATCATTAGTGGGCAGTAGACACTGGCCGTGGTGCTGAGGTCTATAGAGTGGTCAGCCAGGCCCATGGCCCAGTCGCAGCTACTACTCTCTGTTTTTCCTGTCTAGGCTCCCATCTGGCCACGTGACCCTGCGCCAGCCTGCTCCCGCTGAATAAATTTGGGGAGCTAATGAGGAAGAAAGCTTTGTGAAGACCTGGAAAAGGGCACCTCTTCCTCTTCTTCTACTCTGAGAAAAAGAGGGAAAAGTCGCCGTGGTCAATTTTATTAACTTGGCTGACCTTCACACAAACAATTAACATTTACAGAAAACACAGCCCCTCCCATTATCTTCCTCATCTCCATCTTAATCTTCAACCTCACCACCAGCAGTATCTTTTTTTCTGCTGCTGTACAGGGAATTTAACATAAAAGTAGCAAATTAATGGCAAAACTGTTGCATGTACTTTTACAGCCATTGCAAGGTGATGTGGATTATGCAGCAGAAGGTCAGTTATCTGAAGGTCCCTGACATGTTCAGTAATTGGCTGAGGGCCACCACTGTCACAGTAAAAAGCCAACAGTGAGCAGTGATTATGTGACCTTATCTACTGATCCTCCAACCAGACCATCAGCAAGCCTCTATGGATTCTGACTGAAATCTGGTCTAATGAAGACAGAACTGTGGAAATGCAAATGTTTTAATTGACAGTTTTGGAACCCAAAAGATTTTTTTTCCATATAATCCGATTTCATGTACAAATGTATGATTAGCCAAGCATGTGGTACCTGTTTTTTCCATTGTTCTAGAAAAGTTCATCCATGGCCACATAGCAGTTGAATGCTTGTACTTTCTGATATGAATAAAGCGTCTATGAAAAGTTATTTTTCAAACCGTTAGCTAACCAGTTAAGTTAAATAGAAACACACTCAGCAGCTTTGCTCGTACAAACTCCTCTCTCCTCCTACTGTGTGTCCTCCTTGTCTGCGAGGTGATTTTTATCCTGACATGGACAGAAAATGAGATTTGCATTAACAGTAGCTCTCTCTGTTCGTGTGTGTGTGTGTGTGTGTATTTGTGTGTGTGTGTGTTTGTGTGTGCTCTCCCATTTGTAGAACCTGATAAAGAACCTGCCAGAGCAGAAAGAGCTGAATGCGCTAGCAGAACTAAAGGGTGAATATGAAGAGCTAGTGGAGTCGGAGCAGTTTGGCATTGTGGTGAGTATAATTTCCTGGTGACTACTGGATCGCCCCGAGAGAACACACAGTATACACAATCATACTCCCAGTCTACTATAGTCAAACAATTGCAAGCATGCACAGTTGAGAAATTAAATTTTTTTCTTCACTGCTTACTCTTTCTCTCTCTTTATACCTCGCACAGACTCACAAACATACACTGCTCTTTAACACTTTTGTCTGCCTTCCTCCAGCGTTCACTAGTTTTCATACACGGAAATTAAGAAATGTATAATTTAGACGGATACATCCCCGAGAGTTCCAGTAATATTTAATTAAAACATCTACCAATATAAAGAGCATATTTAATAAAGAAAAGTTAACATTTTGTAACCCAACTTCCAAACGATAGAGGCTGTGATTTCAAAATGCACTTTTGACTCTTGCTTAGAACATTTCAATCGTTTGTGATTAGGATTCAGCAACAAGAACTCAGCGAATGGCATATTTCTGACATCAACTGTCAATGTTGTCTCATGATAAAATCATACCCTAAGGCTATGAGTCCTGTCTGTAATAAAGTTCTTTGAAAAGCATGCCACTGCAGTCTGCCAGCACGGTGATGTATCCCAGTCCTCTGATCGATTTACAATGACCCGCCAAAGTTTTATCTTTTGCAGCAAAGGGATATATAATGCTGTGGGTTCCATATTGTAAGCTTGGAGTAAAAGCCTCACATAGTAATGTATATTTCGTTAGTGATCGAAAGGCCAGAGAAATATCAACGACTAGCAAGTAATTAGAGCTGGAATGACTTGTTACTTCCTGTTTAACGATTAACGTTCTTTCTCAAACAGAGATATGGGGTATGGTAATAGTCTCATGTAATGCATTACTATGGCAACCAGATTGCAGTTACAGTGTCCTGGAAAACATTGATATAGCAGTTAATTTGATGAATTCACTATTTATCAGACAAGAATTATACCAACACACTTGGTTTCTTTTGTACCTTTTCCTCCTGCTGTAACTGTGGGTTGTTTTGGGATAAACATGTTGCTGAGGTCCGCCATTTGAAATCTAGTTATGGGACGTTTCTGAGGTGCATTGTCCACCAACACCAGCCACACTTGGCTCAACTCCCAGCACCACTACTGCACCGAGCCGCACCTTGATTCTTTTGGTGTTTTTTGTTTCTCTAATGAGAATTTCATTCTGCGCGTCTGTGCTCAAAGTTGAGCGCTTCCTAGCATCCCGACCTGTTAGAGGGTGGTGCTGGTGGATGATGAAAACAGAAAACATTTCTGGTGTAATCCACTGGGTTGATTGCACCCGTTCATCGCAGATATACACGCCAATATGAAAACAAACAGCAGACTAAACTAAGTTGAAGGAAACAAGAAAGTAATCTGAAGACCCTCATTTATCTAAGGGAGCAAGTTAAGCTAGCTAACTAATGTCACGCTTCACCAAGTTAGCTGACTAACCAGAAACACACACATACAGGCAGATAAACCGAAACTGACACACCTACACAGAGATATATGATAAAGCTGTAATGCTACAGTAAAGGTAGAGTACAAGATAAGTTAACTCACAATGATGTCTATGCACCTGTGCAAGCTTGGAGGAACACATGACTTGCAGCTTCTACTGTAGTCATACCTTCCTCATTACCTTCCTGTTTTAGCAACACCCTTTATTTAACTTTCAGCATTAAATTGTCAAAAAGGGATTTGGCAAACAACCAACTCCAAAAACTGTTTCTTAAGATCCCCATTAGCTTTTGCATTGCAGCAGTTATTCGTTAGGGGGTCTACACAGTTACATAACAACAATTCTGTGGCTACTCAACATTGTCAGGGCATGACTCAGAAAACTAAAAAATATCAATGAAAAAGCCAAAAAAAAAAAAAACACTGCAGGGAGGCTTTAACGCCCAATCTGCAATTGATCCTATTGACACAACTGAGGTTTTTAAGTTGATGGTGAAAAATGACCAAAAAAAGGCATGGATTCTTGTCTCACGTCGGCCTGTTTTTATCCAACAACCTGTGTTACACACATGCTCAAACGCCACTCCACCTTCTACCCTTTCACACCCGACCTGTGTTCTTCCTGGAATTCCAGCGATTACGGAAAGTGACTGAAGAGGCAGAGTTGTACTGTAAATCAGTTTCAGAAGAAGTGAAGTACATCATCAGACTGTTCTGACCTTTCCACTTAGTTACAGCTGTAATTACTTTTTAATTAACTGCTCTTGCCATCCATTTACCAAGTGAATACCCAGCACTTTAAGCATCTGTAAAAGGAAGTGTTATCTTTAAACTTAACTTTACAACAAGATCATAGAGGTACATTACACAGTTTTACAAAAGAAATGTTCAATTAGACCCACGGGTCGCAGATGTGCTCCATCTCCCCAGCTGTTCTCTCAACTTACTGAAGGCTTTTTTTTGCCAATGTCTTTTAGGAGATGTAATGAAGCCGGGGGTGGCAGTTTCCCTTGTGATCTCACCAATTTTGTGATCATATGCCTCCCCACTGATGAAGTAGCTCCTCAATGCAGAGCTATTTAGTTCCCTTGGGAAATAAGCTATGTTCAAGCTTTTCTCTGCCAGAGCTGTCACCACCGTGCTCGCTTTTATTGTGATTTCTCCTTATTGTATACAAATCAATTCAAGTGAGGGAGAGGGGCGGAGTGTGTGTGCTTATGTGTGTGTACTTCACATGCATGCATACAACAGAGTGAGGTGGGTGGAAATGTTGATGTGGGGTGGGGAGAGAGGGGAGGGTTGTTTGACAGACAACTTGCCCATACATATGAATAAATTTGAGCAGTAATGAAACATTACGGGCTGGATCTGAAGGTTGCCTTGAAGCGCCGGATTATGTGGCAATCTGTAGAATTTGTCTGTGGTTGCTGCTTTGCCACATATCTTACAGCCAAAACTCCATTTATTTTAATTCCCTCCCATTTTCATAACTATTTTTTCTCTCGTCTTCTCTAGCTTCAGTGATTCCACTCCTAAGCCCACAAGTATTGATTGAGGCTGTTCTATTATTTATGACAAATCTGTTTAATGGGAGTTTCCTTTATCCATATGAAAGTCAGGATGGAAGCAGGAAAGAGGTTAATCTCATTTGCTAATGAGGGTAGTTGATGTTAAGCTCATTGGAACTAGTCGCAGCAGTAATTAAACTGGAGGTTCAACATGACCATGACGACAAGGTGGTGTAACTTTATAGAATTTCCTTTCTGTCTTTGTTTTGTCACATTATGAAAAGCTATTGTAGGAACTTGCACTCTGAAATAATTTTCAAACAACTCTGAGATTGCAAGGAGCAGAATTCATTCTTGAAAAACATAATAGTCATATTTACAAAGGTTTCTGTGCCTTTACACAGATCCATTTTATTCATACATATATGTGTGTTATTTGTCTAACAATTGCCTCTCAGTTGAGCCGCAACTTGTAGTGTTAAGAAGTGCTGCTCTTTATTTAATAGATTTTTTTTTAAGGGTATGTCGGCATATTGCGTTTAAATCGTGTCGGTTTTACATGAGAAAAGAAAAAGTTATAGATTTTTTTTATTGCTGGTTATTGTAAATAATGCTCACGCTAATTTAAGTCATGCTCTTCCCCAACCTTCACAGAACAGAGGTGTTTATTATAAAAATGTTTGATTGGGTTTGATTGGATTGACAATTGGGTATAATCGCACAAGAATCTTATCTTGTCAGGCTGCAGGTAATTCATTTGTAGTGGTTTGGACCATAGGCGTGTCCTGTGAGGAGCTATTGGCTGATACTGGCGTGGCTTAGGTGTGTGAGATAAACATAGACTATGTAAAGTAATGGACGTAGCCACCATGACGTCACCTGTTGGTTTGTGGACTAAGGCCCAATCCCAATACCCCCCCTTGTCCACTACCCCTCAGCCCTTTGCCCTACCCCTAGCCCTTGCCCACTACCCCTTGGCCCTCAAAATGAAGCAACGAGGGGTAGGGGTTGAAATCTTTTCCGAGGAATTGAGACACCACTCACTACATCACCACGTCACTTACATTCACGCATATGTAACTATTTTAAACAGGAATCTGCGGAATCTGCAATGGAGTCTCCAGTTGAGTTCATCCTACCGATCGCGTTTGCATTATTCATCATGCTTTGTTTGATGAACGACAGACGACAGGGGACTTCTGCTAGCTAGATAGCTAGCTAACCAGCTAACATTACGAGGCAGCATAGTTATACTAGCTGGTATGATATCATAATGTGAAAAATCTGACAATTTTGCAGAACAGGACAGATGACAGACGCCAGATAGTGCAAGCTAGCTAGCTAGCTAACAAGCAACCTGACGACAGTAACGTTAGCTATGTATGAACTTTTTCCCCGTCTCTTGCTTGGTGGTAGCCATGGCGACTTCTACCCCTTGCTGGCAAGTCAGCATCTGAAATCCCTCGCTCCTAAGGGCTAGTTTCATTCCCACTACCCTTTGTTATGCCCCCTACCCCTACATGCAAAAAGAAACTGGGACACCCCTACCCCTTGTGGGAACGCGCAAATGTAGGGGTAGGGCCAAGGGGGGATATTGGGACTGGCCCTTAGTCTTTGAAACCTCTAGTTCGGCATTTTGGCTGTAGCCATCAGAAGTGACCCTATTTGGACGATAGGGTAGATCTAACTGTAATAGCTGTTGCTAGCTTCCCACGCCCATAATTATACAGAACTTTAAGCCTGGGTCAGTTATATAAAAATTCATCCAAAGGCCAATTGAAGAATTACAGTTTGTGGCACTTGGTGTTGGCTTCATTGTAACAGAGAACTTTTTGAGACTGCAGAGAATTTCTTCATCGAAAGGAAAGCAAAGAACGGCACTGAAGGCTTATCGTCATGGAAAATATGTTTTCGCTTTTCCGTAATGACAACTGTGATAAACAGATGGTTCATCCAGTCACCTGCCAAACAGCTTCCATTGACGGCATCTCAAATGGTTCTGTGTAACAAACCATCTGTGGTGCACAAAACTATTAAAAAAACAAAAACAGGACAAACAATCCACACAGGTGTAAGGCAGAGTATGGAGCTTTCAGTTATATGAACATGTGCTGTCATCACATTTACCCTGAACATACACACAGAGTGGAACTGACTAACAGTTTCTAGGCCTTTGGTTTTTGTTTATGTACAAAACAAACCACTGCACTGTTTTTCTTTGTCATTCATATCCTCAGATGAGTTCAGTCAAACTCCTACGACCACGTCTCAACGGTATTCTGTTCAAGCTGACGTTTGAGGAGCAGGTGAACAACATCCGGCCGGACATCATGAATGTGACGTTTGCCTGCGAGGAGGTGAAGAAGAGCGAAGGCTTCAGCAAACTGCTGGAGTTGGTGTTGCTGGTCGGAAATTACATGAATGCTGGCTCAAGGAATGCCCAGACGTTTGGTTTCAACATCAGCTTCCTCTGCAAGGTAACACACTACAGCACAACACACAGATGCAGAAATGAATGTAACTGCCTCCCAATATATATAAATACTGTTATGGCCAGCTCGAAAGCCGCAGCATAAGGAGGGACATGCGCCGGATAAGATGCAGAGGTGTAACTATTATTTGCAAAAAAGACAAAAAGATCACATAAGAGAACAAACATAAAGCGAGGTCTTGTGTCAGGGATTCAGAGTGTGGGCAGAGTAACGAGCCACTTTCATAGACCATCACCCAGGCACCCTCAATCAGTCGTCAGTGAGATGCACGTAAAATTTCACAGTTTTCTAAAGCAACATTAAATGAGGTTCAATCCAGCAAACAGGAGATCAATGAGAACCTCAGAGAATAAGTGTCACAACACTCACCTACATGTTTCACCTGTCACGCGTGCCACAGGGTTGCAGGTGTATGAAGAAACACATAAGTGCATAGCACATGACTTGACAGGGAAACAGAGATAGAGAGGATGGGGTTAGTGAGAGGGGGTGAACATGTTAGGTGAGGAAGCACCTTGGTACTTTCTCACCTAACATGTTCCTAACATGTTCCCCATTTAACTCGTTTCGCGATTTTTGAAGATGGAGGATTTCATCATACATTGATAACCTTTTTAAGGTCAACAAAATATATTTATCGATATAGTTTTAATACATTCAGTTAAAATGTTCTCCGCTATTTATGCATCACACATTTGTTTGACAGTCATTAAGATGTAAATGTATACATTGAGATGCAGGCTTATCACTCTCAGTCGGACCTGTCCTGCCTTCATCAAGTGTTGATCTCAGATAATAAAGACATGCTCACAAGATTCCTCTGCTGAGTGAGAAAACAGATGTAAGCAGATAGTGTGGCATTGACTAGATCCTGTAAAATCTACAGTACCTATCAAATGAAAAAAATGTTTGAATACAACAAATAACAACCATGATGAGGCATGGAGCACAGTGGAACTGGAGCCAGAAAAAGACAGCATCTGTGTCGGCTGCCAGGTAAATCACAGCATGCAGAGGTGTGAAAGAGAGGACTGGCAGCCTTGTACACACACACACACACAGAGAGTAGCCCTGAGTATATAGATCAATATATGTCCATAATATACCACCAGTCGTGAGAATTTTCAGCTGCAGTGAAGCCATGTCGGAAACAAACAAGGCATCCACTCAAAAAGGGAAAACTATGGCGGGAGCTAACGGGCTAGCTAACAACATGCTCTCGAGACAGATGGGGTCTTGTCTGTCTCTGCACTTCAAACAGAGTTGGAGAAGACCCACGTTGTCATCTCCTCCGAAATGCAAGCTTCCTTCGCACCCATAAACCAATCCCTGGATGTGCTTTGCAAAAAAACTTGACGACTATGAGCCTCGCTTTGCTAAAATGGAGGAAACCCTCACTGATCATAGTGTAAGGCTGACAAGCTTGGAGAAACGGGTGGAAAAGCTACAGCAAGAGAGCAAAGAGAGAGTTAAGAAGACTGATGACCTGAAGAACCGATCACGACACAATAACTTGTGTGTGAATGAGCTTCTAGAAGGCTACCAAAGTAGAGCAGTCTCTGCTTTTATGTCCAAGTTTCTGGTGGACTTGCTACACTACAACGCTTTCAAGACTCTGCCAGAGCTGGAAGGGCGCACAGGACACTGATGGCCAAGCCAGCAAGCTTCCTTGGCCTCCAAAAGAGAGAGCAAGTACTGACGATTGCAAGGAAGAAAGTTGCTTTTCTATGAACGTTGTGGGTTTTTAAAACTGACATTTCAGGGCCAACAAGGACTCTACATTCACTGAGTCCTGAAACTGATGTGGTGTAATATACTGATATAGTATTAGGAATTGCCATATTGACCAGGGGGTGATTTTCCTGTGATATTCCATACGTGTACATGCATATTTTGACACATTTTTCAGCAACTTTATTCCTAAGACAGCAGTGTATTCATCTCTAACTTCACATTTAGTTATTTTTATGCATAAGAAAATATTTTTTTTTTTACTCTTGATTAGAATTTGTTTGAAAATTTTGATTTAAGTTGCAGAAATTACTTAAACACATTTTTTTTTAAAGCTCTTGAAGATTTTTGAGAATTCCTTGAGGAGTTCTCTCCCATAAAACTTATTGAAATAAAAAAAATAATATCCAGGAAAGCTCTCTAAAACATTCCTACATGCTCAACACTTCTTAATAAATAAAAAAAGGAAATCACACCATCAGCCAGGTTTCCCTAAATGTTCAACTTTCTTTCATGCCAACTACTTACAGGATAAAGATCCAGAAAAACGGGTATTTCTACAAAATCAAGCATCAGCATGTCAACAAATTAAGATTTTATTGAGAGCCAAAAATTCACTTTGTTGTCTTGTCCCTTTAAAGTAGCTTTGGGACTGTGGTACTGTGTAGCACCGGCAACGGTATTCAGTGTCTTATCTAATTGATGATAAAAGTGATGAGAATATTTATTGGGCAGCCTACAGAGTGCTTCGAGAACTCATGGGGGTGCTGAAGAGGGGGGCAAGCCTCCTCCCTGTGCTGCAAGATTGGCAATCGAGCTGTGGGGATAAACAACCAAAACAAGTTGCAAAATCCATCTTAAAAGCAGCCTGTGTGAGATTTTATAACACTTTTCTTTCTGGTGTCATTATTCTCCAACACTCTGCTGTTCGGGAGCAGTGCTACAGCTGTTTTGAGTGGAGGGGAAAAAAGGATCCATCCTGAACCATCATGTCAAATGGATCAGCCACGTCATGTGGAAACACTCAACATGGGATTTTTCCATATGGGAGACCTAAGTGTGAAAGCCAAAAGCCACCGCCTTACACGCACATTTGAAAGCCAGCAATCTTGCAGGTGTAAAAAGGGCTTTAGTATGGTGGATCCAGTCTGCCTTTCGTGTTCCTGCAGGCTGACTGAATCAGTGTGGAGTGTCAGTGTAGAGCCTGGTAATGCCTCAGGGGGCTGATTGGGCCATTATAGATGGACAAGAAAAAAGTCTGCTTTCTCACTTTAGTCAATCAAGTAAATGGCCCCCTGGGTGGCAGGTCTAGGGTACCTAATGGGCTCATCAGGGAGGAGGTGGTTGATGATGGGAATGAGCAGCAAGGGCATAGGCTGACCCACCTTCAGCCCTCCACTACAGCCCCACGTCCTGCCAAGGACACCCAAATCTCCTGGGAGCCAGCCTGGTCACATATATCCTGCGAGCTGAACATCGGCTCTGGCTTTAAAAGGACAGTGGTGAAATGTGGATTTCATGTCACTATAGTTTAGTGTGGAAAAACGTGAGCAAATTTCATAATAGGGAAGTTTTTAAAACACCCAGGTGAATGACAAATACATTTTCCCAGTTTTAATCATGTGGCCCTGTGCTAATTGATCATTTATCAATTGTTATATACCAAATAAGATGTCAAAAAATATGTATCAGGATATTTTTACATCAGAATCTCTGTACTTCTGTGGTTTCAAATTGTTGATGACTAATCCTGCACTCAGGGGCATTTAAAACATTCACCTTGTCAAATGAGACTTTGGTGAACTATCTGATCACACCGGTCATATTAAACCACATGTCATAGCTTGTGGGTCATAGTAGCTACTAGATAACAGAGCAATTTGGAGAGAAAAATGGTTGGATATCAATGGGCAAAAGCTTTGGTTTCATTTCCAAAACAATGCAGGAGAAGTCGAACTCATTCATCTGTCCTTGGTCTTTCTCTCGATCCAGCAATAAGAGAGGTGGTTGTGTGTTAAGCCAACAGTTGGATTAGCTGTGGACTCCGCTGTTGCTCTGTATTGTGCCAAACTCTAAGCACGCCCACTTTATTAAGGGTCCAATCAAATGTAAAGGATTTTATTTAAATCCCTCTTGTAACTGTACACCAAATGTAAATATTACTTTTTTACTGGGACAGTAAAAGACGCTCTAACTTCCGTTTCAGTGGGACTTAAATGGTGGTGTTTTCTTTCCTCTAGAAAACCTGCAAAAAAACAATATAGCAGAGCCTGTTTCCATAATGAAACATATTGGGTAAATGGATAAAAACCATCTGCTGCATGACTCAAAAACGAAATAGAAATATTGTTTCTCTTGGGTGTTATCCCCGTCTCGCTGAGGGAAAAACACTTTCACAGGCTCTGCTAAATAATTGAAGACCACATGGCAATGATTTGTGTTCATCTTAAACTGAGCAGAACTATTGGGCCACCTATTAGGCACTTCACTTCGTTAACAGGAAGTCATCTACCCAGCATCAGTGTGACCTTCTGTCCTGCTTTCAAAATATAATGTAATGCGTCTTTTATTCAGGTAAACTGCGCTAAGCATTGGCCTTGTATGCTTTACTGTTCACAGCGTATACTATATGTACTTTTTCTTCTTTTAATACAGTATAATACCTAACTGTATGAGCAAGTATAGAGTGTGTGTGCCCTGTGCCGCAGCTCCATCTGCAGAAGTTAAATTGAGCAATCAAGGGCCGACAATCCTTCTGTTAGTGTGAGGCTTCCACATTCCCATTGCCCCTTCTTCTGTTATTAGTTAATTATTGTTTTATTTATTTATTTTCAGTCTGTATATTTAAATGGAAGTGTGTTTGTTTGTAATATGCCTTGCCACTCGAAATGCTGAATATATTGAAATGTATCGCACTAACTAGTGAGGGATTTGAAATAATGCTACCTCAAGGCAATTTGTGCAGTGGAAGATTGAATGATATCACTTTCAGCAACTCAGTAATGAGGCAGCATTTTTCCATCTATTTCAAATGAACAGATTTGTTTGAAGAGGTAGCGTTTATAAACACCCCATCCTGCTCCAGCATTAAAACATAATGGGATAAGACACATTATAAGCAGCCAGCGTAAAAAACAGCAGCTATTAAAATGCATTTTATATAGGTGGTGTTAAAGAAGAGATTTAGGTAAAACTCTGGGTAGCCTAAGCTCTTAAAGTAGAGCATTTCAAAGCTTAGGAGCTCCGGCAGTAAAAGCCTTTTTCACTTTTGGCTTTTAGCACAAACTTGAAATGGCCAGGACAAGGGATGGACTGGGATTAAAAATGGCCATGGACTTTGACACAGACCAGCTCACTACAACCTGTGCACAGATACTCCACAGCCCCTGGCACAGTTCTCACGATACCTTAAAGCTGCATTGGCTGGAATTCCTGATGTAAAATCGTGTGAAAATAACATCAGCACCTTGGGTTTTATGTAGGATTCCCCCTGTCCTTACAGAGGCCCGTAGCAGAATGTGTTACCAACAGCTCCTTTTTATCTCCACATGCTAAGTTTAAAAATGCAGTACATTTGATTCTGCCATATAAGCCAGTCTCTTTGTAAATTATCTAATGCAGTGGTTCACAATCAGGGGTCCTTGAGATGTTCCAGGGGGTCTTCAGAAAAATTGGGAATAGTTTATTTTTACAGTTTAATTTACTGTAGAAGTGAACCCATTGTGAATTAAGCCCCTTTCCCACAGGACGATACACCCATTATCATTCACGAAACATCTGGCTTTTGTATTTAATGGGGAAGGTGACAATTGGCATTACCTCCCGGGACAAATGACTCTGCAGTATTCATGGGTATTTATCAGCTCCAGCTCCAATTGGCTGCGATCGGACGTGATGGAAGAATTACACCTGGATGGACTAATTTTAGCCCCCTTTTTTAGCACGATACAATGACATGCTGACACGAAATATTATCTGTTTGAGTTCAAGCAGGACTTGGGTATCATTCTAAATTAGTCAGCACAAAGTTCAGTGTTGGGCTCGTTGCTCTAAAAATGTAACATACTACTCATTACTTGTTACTCTTAACAAAAGTAATAGCCGCTTAATCGTAATCGCCGTTAAGTGTAGCTACAGCTAGATAGCATCTATTTACCTGCAGGTCTTCAGTTGCCTGTGACCAGTATGGAGCAACATTTCATCTACCACATATCCAGCCGCAAGCTTCGTCACTTCTTTGTAGCTGCAGCTGTCCATGAGTAAAACCACAAGTTTTTGTTGTTTAGCCAGTGTGGGGCCACAGCTGACCTCCATGGCTGCGGAGAGCTCACCCTTGGTGGGGTGTATTTCCTCGAGCTTCACGTTGCTGTGTTGTCAGTTGTAGTAGCAGAGGTGTTTTAAACTGGAAGTTTGTTTTTTGCCGTGGAAAGAGTTTTAGTCTGACTACCTGCAGCAACAGTGTTCTTGTTATCTTTCCTCCCAACAAAATCAAATTAATGGGAATATATTCAGCTGCTAAGGTAAGCGTTTTCAACTAGCTCGCTGCTTAATGAAGTTGGTGCACACCACAACAATTACTAAAATGAGTCGGCTGATGTGATTGTTGTATTTCAAGTCAGTAGTGATGTGATAACAAAAGTAACATTGTAACGAGTTGTTTGGTTTTGGGGTAACTGTAATATCATTACTGAGATTTCACTGTAATTAACTACACTACTTGTTACTGGAAAACAGTAATATTATTACTGTAACGTTACTGACTGACTTTGAGAGAGAGACTGAATAAGTAAGAGAATAAAAAATAAGTAAACACTAACATTTTCAGGCGCCTCCAAGCTACTTTATGCTATTTACTAGCCTGTTTATCGTCATTGTCGTCAATTGCGGAGCCATGTACGTGGCTCTGGCCTCATAACAATAGGAAGGCAGTCCATTCCCTGTTTTTAAGGGCTTTCCTCTGTTTAAAATCAGAGTCATAAGAATGACTATTCTGATTAAAGGTTTTGCATTCTCCACGGTTATCTCCTCATATAGTTGACACCTATAGAGTTGTGGCCATAATTGCATCTAACAACCAACATCTTTTCACATGGAGGTCCCTGAAGAGACATCTTGTCAAGTGGTGGTTCATGACCTAATGTTTATCAGTTTAGGGGTTCCTGACACTAAAACATTGAGAACCACTGATGTAAAGGTGTAAACCAATGTAATGTAAACGAATAAATGTGTAATAACCATTTCAATTTTTCAACTACATAAATATATATTACATATGCCATATGGCATATAAATGTTTGATGTCCATGTGTTTGTCACACATTCCAATGTTTCCAGACCGTGGCAGTCAGAATATTGTCGATCCCATGATATCTGCTCCAGAAGATTTTGTTTTGTTTCAGTGTTCCACTATTGCATAGGACAATTTTAGACTTTTAAGACTTAGTAAAAGGCAGTAGCACAGTTTTTTGTTTGTGTATGAAACCATATTAAAACTCTTTGTTTAGCCAGTAAAAGTCATTCATGATTAAACTGCATTATGCTTAAGGTTAATCTTTTGTTTTGTTTGGTTTGTTTACTGTAAAATACCCAGATTTACTAAAAGAAGCAACTCAGCTTAAAACAGTTCTGACAAATGTTTTCCAACCCCACACATCCACAAGTTATGTTTTCTGCTGGAAGATGACAGTATTCGCTGCAGTTTAAAGGTCCTACTGCTACAGTACAAGAACGTATCAGGCAATGCTCCCAATAATAGACCATGCAGCGTAAAAAAAGGAAAGAAAATGCAATATGTTGCTGATCAGGCACCTGAGTCCCATATAATAATAGAAAATAAAACAAAGTGTTTGTGTTTCACCTGGTGTTTTTAAAGCTTCGCCTTTTTTTTTTTTTTTAAATTCAGTCCCAGACTTTCTTTAAAATTGAAAATGATAAGCACTAATTATGCTGTACAAATTATTTAATTACAGCTGTTCATATTATAAGTGCAGGTTGGGGTAGAGCAGTCTGTTTATGAATTAGTGAATATGCCTGCTCTGTGGACTTGGTCCAGTCTTATTATGTCAGTGGTATTCACCTCACAATGCTAATATGCTTTGTTTCATCAGATAATTTTAATGACTGCCTTATTACCTGAAACGACATGGTTTCTCCACTCAGACCCACTGCTCTCAATAGTGCCCATTCTCCCCTCCTGTGTGTGCACTATATTTGTCCAGGTTAAATACACTTTTTATCAGTGAGACTGTGGATGATATGAAACAATTTAGAGATATACAGCATATTGTACCACTGTATCACATTATTTAGAATTATTATTTCAATTAATAAACTGTTTCCTAACATCTCACCAATTGTTAAATGATTTTTTTCCCTCTTTTACCTCTCCCAGGTTACCCCATCTTTATTACATATTACTAATATTAGTTAGCAGATGAAATCAGCACACCACAGATGCACCTTTTTGTGTTGTAATGACAGCTTTGGGTATAACAATAAACAAATTAAAATTTAAAATGCATGAAATTAAATTGTGATTACCCAACGTGAGCAAATGATTGATCCTCATCTAATGAAAGTATGTGTGTTTTCGTGTTGGTGTGAGACGGTGCGCCTCTGACTGCCTGTAATTGTCTCAATTCACCATTGCCTAAATTTGTGCACTAGTGTGTGCGTGTGCACACGTGTGTTTGCATGTGCACATGTGTGGGCATGTCCAACTGCAGGCTGTTTACAGCACGGATATTATCAGTAGGAGTACACAGAGGTGGGTTGTGCTAATTAGTTTTCCCAGCATGCCATTCGAACAGCATGGCAATCACGGTGGGGAATGAATATGGAACAAGTTTCCTATGCACTGATGTGGAGACTCCAGCTTCTGTGTATGAGCGCACACACACACACACTTGGCAAACAGTGTGGTACTTTAATTCAAACTTTCCTGCCACTGTTTTATTCTCATGGGTACACTGTTATGTGTGTATGTACTGTATGTACGCTACGCTATATGGATGTTTCTATGTTGTTATTTTAGACATCTGTAACTGGATGTGAAAGTATGTAAGGTCTCATAATGCAGTTTTATTTCATCTCCTCATGTACTGCGCCTCCATGCAGTCCCTTATTTGATACCGGAGATTGACAAAGCAGTTAAGTGGGACCCTTAACATGCAGTCCCTTACTATCTAGGTGGTCGTTTGCTGTACCCCAGAGAGGGCATAAACACATTTTACTTCTTGCTACCATTGTTACTGCCATCATGCATGCACCTGTATCATTAGGCTGTGTGGTACATTTGACAATTAAATGTTTAATTGTCTTTTTAAAATTATTTTCTTGTTCCTTTTTCTTCCTTTTCTTTTTTGTTTTTAGCTCCGAGACACAAAATCCATCAGTCAGAACACAACACTTCTTCATTTCCTGGCTGAGAAGTGTGAAGACAATTACCAAGAGATTTTGAGGTTTCCAGATGAACTGGAGCATGTGGAGAATGCCAGCAGAGGTATGTCTCTATGTCTGTCTGTATTTAGACCTTCACATGTCGGCGTGCTGACACAGGGTTGGGCAATGAAGAGAAAATGAAGTATCTCAATGTTTTTGACCAGATACCTTGATATTAATGTTGCAGTGGTATCTTTGGGTTAGGGCTTTCACAAAATATTAATACAATAGGATTTTAAGAAATAATAAGAAAGAAATCAAATGGCTAGATCGGCTAGATCGGCTAAAATGAAGTCTTTAAAACCCGGAAAAGACAGCACTTGTAATATAACAATATCCAAAATCTAAGACGATATCTAGTCTCATACATTACCCAAACCTACATGTACGTTATAAAACCTGGTGACAAATCCAGCCTGGAAACAGTTTAGGTCTTTCTGGGCGATAAAACCACCAACAGACACCCATAAATGCACTGCACCATACTTATTAATTTAACTTAGTTTCTTTTCAACACACTTTGACCCTTTACTTATCTATTTCCTCCCTTGACGACAGCTAGCACCCACTCTGTGTTACAGGAATAGAGTTGTTTGTCTGACCACACTGTCATTCAGCCTGTCAATAAACTAATTCCACTCTAATTCTATTCTCAAGCATTCGGTGGAATCCCTGCAGGCTTATTTACTTTGTTAGTCTCGTAATTGGTTATTTAATCTAATTCAACTAATTATGCACTTGACTGAGGCTGCCAGCCATTGTGTAAGTGGACTGAATAGTCTTCATGCGCTGTATATATTTAGATGTTTAAATGCAAAAATTTTGAATTAGATCAACTTTGTCATTTCATGGGAATGAATTATTCAGGAAGATGGCTGTTAATTGACTGAGGACTCAGGAACTATTTAAAGAGTAGGGGTGCAAAAAGATATGCACTGTGGGCACAACATGCTTCTCCAGTTTCATTGGTGATCACATAAAATTAAACACAGTTTTCAATGGAATACTGTCACAGTGAAATATTGTTAACGTTTTGAGGCATTAAAACTGCTAACACACCTACAATTCAATTAGTGGAATGGTTACCATTTTTGAATAGGCTGGTGATTATATTTTTAAAAAGCCTCCACCATTTTAAATCTTCTCTTTTTTGCCACACTCCATATTTTATTTGTTCTTTAATTCCATATATTTTACAGTGTGTGTAGCATGTTGAAGCTAGGTAAATGAGAAAAGCTGAAAAGCCTCTAAAAATCTGTTTCATTAGATTTTCTTTGAGGCACAAAGGAACATAGTGACCAGAGGCCATGTGCTGAGCCACTTCAAGTCTTTGAAAAGCTTTTACTGTCTGTAGAAACAGCAGAGCATCTCTGAATTATTTACCACTATCTTCAGATCCTTTACAAGCTTTTGGTTCCCTGTCAGGTAAACTGGCTAAAGTAAATTAAACAAAGCTTTTTTCCTTTTCAGCTTAGTACACAATACACTCTCACATGGAGTTAAAAACTGCGTATGCATGACAGCCTTCTCTGACAGGTTTTTGGGGGATTTCTGTTTTATATTTGTCTCATTCCTCAACCTGCTGTTACTTTGTTTTCACAATTTGATGTGTTTCTCAGTGATCAACGATCCAATATCATCAATGCAAAGTCAAAACATCGATCCATATCATCATCTTAGGTTACACCTTTATCATGGAATTCTGTGTCACGGTCAAACAGCAGCAGGCAGATGGCAAGCAGCCAAGAGTAAGAAGACAAGGATTACGTTATTTACAAGGGAATGAATCAAAAACTTCTTGCAGCAACACAGCAACATTAGCTGCTCTGTTTCAACAATGTCAGACTGAGAAAACATGCATGCAGGCTGAAATTCAACTGTTCTGTTCTGTCAGAAGAGGCAGTGACTTAAACCATCGGTGAGTAAGAACAAGTATAAAGTATAGCTGCAAGTGGCGATCCCGAGCCAGCCAGCATGAACCTTTTAAAACTTGAAAGCTGGGTAGGATCCAGACCTTTGACCGTTTACGAAACCTGCATTACAGATTACCAACAGGTTTTATGATGATCGGACAGAAGCTCATTCAATTATTTCCAAATCTGTGCTGGGCCACACTCCTCTTTGGTGACGTGGTTAATTGCAGAAAGCTTTTGGGAACATGCATCAATGGCTTAGTTAAAAATATTCACCAAGTTTGGGGATGTTCATACAAACGTTCATTGATTTATTGCCACATTTTTGCGAAAGGTCAGTGCAGTTGTTTGGAACTGGTGGCGCCCCCTGTTGAGTGATTTCTTTTTTTTTTTTTTTTTTCACACTTTGACCAACATTATTATCTGACAAATCCTGCAAGTTTTCTAATGATTAGACAAACAATTTCTGATTTGTAGTCTGATTTCTGTTGTGCCATGTCAACTTTTTGCTTGTGTGGCGCCCCCAGTGGTCGAAAATGAAACTTTCAGGGTGTTTTGCTGGTATGTCTCCAGACACTTCTTGCAAGTTCTGTGCTGGTTGGCTCAACAGTTATGGAATTAGGTCTATTTATGTGCTGGTCAATATCTTCAAAATGCAAAGAGATATCCACAAGCTTTTGATGCAATTTTGGTGCAAATAAGAACTACAGTTTAGGAGCAAATGTGAAAGATGTGTTTTTCAAACAATTCTTAAGTCTAAAAGTTTTTACCATGATGCGTTGGTGGTTCTTGTGTGTTTTTGTTGGGCACAAAAAGCTGCGCATGTGACAAATTTCAAGTCAATAGGTCTGGCGATGTGAAGGTCACAGCCTGCAAAAATTGGATCTTTGGGCCTTAATTATAGAACTCCCATCAGGATAATTGACATCAATGAAACGATGAAAATTTAATTTGTCTACGACATACTGACTCTCGGAAATCACAGGAAAAATCACCATATTGTTGTGCTTACTCAGGTAATAAATCTCTTAGATAAACCAGAGTAAAGCCTGCGGCCTGCATGTGATTTCCGATTGTTGATTGTCAGAGGCAAATGGCCATCTACAATGGTGGGAAGTTGTACAATTAATATACCTTGTTGATAAGTGCAATCAGACATGGATAATTTCCCTGTGAAATCATAATTTTTCCTGCCCTGATTGGCTGTTGTAGACTTTCACTCACCCAGCGAACAGTTTCTCAGAGAAAGTGGATTGCCACCTCGCTGTCGACTGGACACAATTTTTATTTTAACACCAATTATTATGCATATTTTTCCCACAGTAATTCAAAATGTATTTTAATTTTACAGCAGGGCCATACATATTTAAATGAGGGGTGATTGCTAATTATGGTTAATTGCATCATTGATTATTCCATTTTTTTGTCTAGTAGCCTCAAGCATTTAGTGATAATGGCTACAGGTAGCAATAAAAGCCTGTTTTAGTACTCTCAGTGCAGATATCTATTACCTCCACACTATCTGCTGGCATTAAATTTATCATTGGAAAGTTTAAGTGCAGTGATGGAACAATAGTTCATGCTTGACTGAAATGCTGCGACCAATATTTTCTTACTGTTCTGACCATGATGTCTTTTACATCTTGACTGTACTGTGTGCAGCACTGAAGGTCATTGCAATCAAGAGAAGTTCTTTCTTTACCACTTTTATTGACTCTTACCTTGCTACATCACCATGTTCACACCGGACATGGAAGCACCCAGGCATGTCAAGTGTCACACAAGCAGTCACCTGGCCAGACACACTAGAAGAATGTTTGGCTGTGCTGGTCAGCCAGTGATTCTGCTCCTCTGCTTTTTTCTGAGCACATGTAGAGCTCTGTCTCTGTCTCTGTACCTACTTTGGAAATTAATATAGCCCTGTTTCCACCAAACAGTACAGTTCAGCTCAGTGCGCTTTTTTTTTCTGTTTGCACTGTGAAAAGTTGTGGATGGTACCAATAGAACCGTTCTGTACCGTCCCCATTTTTGATCCCCCTTCTGTTGGGGTACCTAGCAGATCTGGTACTAAAAGATGAAGCTGTGAACACTGCAGTCTGTTGATTGGTCAATAGAGGACGCTCACTCTGCTCAGGGCTGAGTTGTGGCTGGTTTTGAAGCTCATGTAACCACTGTTCATACTGTGGAGAGTTTTACATATATTAGTAAACTGTAACTATAAAATGAAAGGATGTTTTGTTGCTTCTGACAGCAGCTGTAGTCTGAGAAAGGAGGAGAGTGGGTGTCCTAATGGAAGCTAGAAGTTAACATTAACTGGAACTCCAGCATGTAGAGATGTTCCTGTAGGAGACTCTTCCTCCCTCCAAGGATTCAGCCATTATCAAAGCCTACCTGGATCAAGGTCGATTATGATTAAAATTCACATGATGAGGTAAGGCGGCAGGGGCAGCAGGCTGTAGACGCTCCGGAGAGGACCTAAACAAAGAAAAGGGCCATGCTTTTAACAATGCACTGTGGACACATGGCTTAACTGAGCAGAAAATAACTGTGTTTATAATGTCGGTAAAATAAGTATGTTGTCATTAAATTTTTTTCAGCTCAAAAAAAGTCTCAAATCGGGATGAAATTCAGGCCTAATTAAAAACTTGTGAAAGGGTCTGAAATATAGTTTTTTTCTTTTATTTCACTTTTAGCAATTAAACTGGTTATAAAATGTGCTGATTTGAGCCGCTGCCTATTTATTTCTCAAATTGTTTGACAGCATAAAGACTGCAACATTTTATGAACACTACCATGAATTAATTTTCAGCGCTAATTAAATTAACATCTGATCAGTGTTATTTTACTCTGTATAATTACGGCCACAAATGCTTTACAATTACAGTTTTTGTAACACAGGAGCCTCTCAGCAAATTCCCCCCATTTTCACACCAAACTGAGTCAGAGAAATGCTTGATAGCCACTCTGAAAACCATCCCGACTGCATCAGTACAGTCATGAAGTCACATGAGAACGACTACTTGTTTACTAGATGTGAAGTTTACTTCAGTAAAATAATTTGCATGCAGTCAACCACTTCTTTGTTGCAGTGTTGGTGGAGGCGTATAGATTTTCTGCAAAAAATATAGTAAAAAAGGCAGGGGGAAAA